TAATTATGTCCGTTTTGCATATGCATGCATTTTAATATATTATGCATATCCCTACTCGGGGAAAGCTCTAAATATTGTTATTTCACTTTTTCAGAATGGAGATTGTACTTTTGTTGGTTGTATATCTTGCGTATGGCTTTAGCACAGGTGCTTTATCGTACATTCTTCTCACGATTAGCAGCTGGTCTCTCTCTCTCTCGTATCCTATTCTTTTGTAATTATGTCTGTTTTGCATATGCATGCATTTTAATATATTATGCATCTCCCTACTCGGGGAAAGCTCTAAATATTGTTATTTCACTTTTTCAGAATGGAGATTGTACTTTTGTTGGTTGTATATCTTGCATATGGCTTTAGCACAGGTGCTTTATCGTACATTCTTCTCACGATTAGCAGCTGGTTCTTGGCTATTTCTTGGCTTTTTGCACCATATTTGTTTAATCCATCTGGCTTTGAGTGGCAAAAGTAAGTTTACCTCACTATGCTTCAACACTGTACATAAGTTTTTGTGTTGTTCCATTTTAAAAGTTCATTTCCTGGCCCATTGCAGGACGGTGGAGGACTTCAGAGATTGGACAAACTGGCTTCTGTATAGAGGTGGAATTGGAGTTAAAGGAGAAGAAAGTTGGGAGGCTTGGTGGGATGAGGAGCTGGTATAGTAATTTTTCTTCTAGCTTAATGCAATCTTGCCTATTTCAGTTATTTTTTCTTATCTTTTCTACCTTCTTAACAGGCTCATATTCGAACATTAGGGGGGAGGCTGATGGAGACCATTCTTAGTTTAAGGTTTTTTATATTTCAATATGGCACTGTATACAAGCTACATTTACAGGGAGATAATACATCTCTGACGGTAGAGTTCTCACAGCTGAGCTTTCGTTCTTTATTTACTCTTCATCCATATAATCTAACTAACTTTTGCTTAATAATATGGTCAATTGATTGCTTGCCTTATTTTTTTTTAGGTTTATGGATTTTCATGGATTGTATTTGCGGTGCTTTTGATCCTCTTCAAGGTTAGACCACACATATCATTGAGCACTCTGATCTCACTATGTTCCATACTAATAAATTAAAGGGTTGATTATCACGTGTACTAATATCCGTATCTATACTGCGGTTTAATAGGTGTTCACATTCAGCCAGAAAATATCAGTTAATTTCCAGTTGTTG